AAGCTGGGTCGGCTGTGTGTGTGCACGTGTTTGCCTTGTAAATTCACAGAGAATCTGTGTCGAGACGCAGCTGATGTTAGTGCTTAGTCCCTTACTGCCAGGAAGCCTTTTTTAAAGGACAGCAAGAACTGACATGCTGCCTTTTACAGGTTTGTWTTTCTGTTCCAAAGTAGGAATGTCTAATTGGTTTTCCAAAGTGATCATTTGTGTCCCATAATTGATTCCTCAGCTGCCCTTAGGCATAAATCTCAAGAACGTTTGAAATGTGCTTGCATTTAATAAATAAAAAAAGAGGTAGTTTTTGCTTCTCTGGTCTCAGTTTGCAATGGTAAGCTTTAATGAAAATAAGTATGCAGACATAGTGCATGGTTGTGTTCACTGCCAGGTATGTTTTTTACCTAGACTGGGAATAATTAGATTATGATAAAGAAAATACCAGCATTCAGCTGCAGACACTAGCACTTGGTTTGGACAAGCATTGCTCATAACTCCAATGAGTTAATGGATTAATTAGCATCACTTGATGCAATTTAAATGGGGCTGAACGAGAGCAAACTACAAGCTCAAGAAAACTGTCCTTAAAGATGGGTAACTTGTTAACTGAGCGCATCCAGAGACACTGATTTTTCTCTGTACAGTRGGTAGAAATTTTCTCTCATCTGCTCATACCTGACTTAAGAAAAGGTGCAGCGTGGATGGTACAACGGGCATTTCCTTGTACTGTTGGCCACGTTTTTTTTTTTTCTTTCTCTCTATTATTGTTATTTTAACGGAATTGTGGAACAAATCTTGCTTTGAGAGGTGAGGCATCGTTACCTTACACCCCGGATAGGGCACACAGCACCTTGTCATCTGGGTTTTCTTCTTGGCCATCAGCCTACTGGGGTGCGTTAGACAAGTTACTGAGACTGTTTCTCTGTCAGACTTTTTCTCATCTTCCTAGTTTGTCAAACCTATAGAGGAAAGACTGTTATGTGTTTGCATGTGCTTTGCATAGAGGGCTGTGATCTTGGTTGGGTTTCCTAGGTATTACTGCAGTAAATGTAGGAAGTGGATGGAAGTCAAGCTTTAAATGTAGTTTGGATCTGAGGTTGTTAGTGGCTTTTTGTTTGAGTGTCTGGAATGACATGTGGTTAATATGCTCCCCTGTGTCTCCTGGTGTTCTTGGTACTGATAAACTTCAACCTTTTTTTGTGCTCTCAGGGGTGCACAATGAAAACATTGATAGCTTGGCTGGAATGTGCCCATGGCTCCAAAGCTGCCTATTACAGGCTTGCCAGGGCATTTCTAATACCCAGAGACAGCCCATGTGGGTGCTTGGCCACCTACCAGATTAGGAAAACAATAGCATCGTTTTTAATGTCAGTTGGGTCTCGGGCAAATTCATGTTTCTCTTTTACAAGTGAAAAGGAAGTTAATTTTCACATAATTCTTTAAGCGCATTGCAATTAATGCCCCTGCTGCTAGGGTTTCATGAAAATCTTTCCAAAAAGAAATATGATAGGTTTTCCTTAAGGTGTGTTTCATAGTTATATTTAAATTTTAGGGGAGRATTTTGGAGAACTGCACGTTATTTCAGTTCTTAGCATTTCTAGTCATTTAAAAGATGTGAATTTGCAAACTTGAACTTCAAATAGACATGCAGAATAAGAGCCATAGCAGGAGTGGGACAAGAGAGCACCAAAGGGGGAGATGCCCTTTTGCTTCTCTGCTCCTTCCTCTGCTGACCAGAAGGAAGGGCTGCCAAGAGCTGGAGAGGGGGAAGCAGGAAAGACTGGAAAAGAGGAGCGGACGGAGGAGGGAATGTGCTGAGAGCTCCAACATCTTCCTGCAAACCTGTGCAAACAGTGGGCTTTGTTCTATTCTTTTTTTCATTTACCCATTCGTGATCTTATAAGATACTGAAGTTATATTTTCTATTACTTCTGGTATCACCATAAAACCTGGAAACACAAGTTCTTCTTGCTGTTGCTGACCTCGCTGTAAATCACAAGCAGAGAGCTTCCAGCAGCTTGAAATTACTGGGGGAAAAAAAGAGATCTAGGGAAAAAGCRCTCTGGGAAGCCAAGAGAGCTTTCATAGAGGTACCTACACCAGAGCTCAGCTGCTATTTGAATTCTACACATAGCTGTGAGAAGTTAGAGCCAAATTCTCACTGTAAATCAGGATAGCTCCATTAACTTCAGTGGAGCTGTGCCAGCATATCCCAGACAAAGGCTTGGCTCTGCCTATTAATAGTAATAGTCATCAGTCAGAGCTGGAGACGCTCCTTTGGAACAAAGTTTTGATTAAAAAACGGAGATAAGACTGACTGAGGAGTCTGCCTTGTGGTTCTGCATGGAAAGGGGCTCCCATGGGGTTGGATCCTGCACCACGGAGCTTGCACAGCCGGTGAGGACCAACAGTCCTCCCGACAAGCGCAGGCTGGGGGTGCAGCCTGTTCAGCTGGTGTGCACGGCTCTGGGGCGACCGACTGTGCTACAGTCGGATGCTGTGGTTTGCGTCAGCACCATCCTGCTTTCATCKGCCTGCCGTTCTCCATCGCTTCAGGACATCCAAGTTTATCCCGTCACCAAATTTCCACAGTGTTCCTTGAAATTCTTCAATGTGCCCTGATAAGGAGAGGGTGAAATTCTGTCATCACCCATTGGTGCTTCATCTTTCCTGTATGACCCTGTTGTTCAGGGGTGCTTTAAATTTCCCAACTATATTTATAGATAGAGCYCCTTGAGTGCCTTTCTTGAGTCAATTCCGTATGAAAAGGCCCCCAAAGCCTAGCAAAAATTCCTATTCTGTGTGGTGTTATGCTGTTTTAGTTTCCTAGAAACTGCTTAATTCATTTACAGTGCCCCACAAGTCCAAGTTCCCTTCATATATGAACTTGTGTATTTTGGCTCTGATCCATGTCTTCCCTTGGCTCAAAATGATACCAGAACTGTCTTTGAAATAAGGCAGGAATGTTGTGTTTTTCTTTTTTCTTTAAGCAACAATATCACCACTGAAATCTTTCTCCTCAGTTTTATGAGACCCCAGCACTAAAGTACATAGCTGTGAATGATAAAGTCTAGCGAGTTCRTGCTTTTTGAAGAAAACGATATTCTGGTAGGACTTGGGAATGGTTCACACCTCTCCAGAAGGAGCATCAGCATCGAGCAGGTCGTCACTGAAGGTTTTCACGACCATTTATTGGTTTGTTTTCTTTCAATACTTAATCAGTCTTTAGAACTGATTTCAATGAGTTTTACTAACTCGGGTCCTTGTTAGTCCTCCCTGTTGTGCCAGTTACAGACTCTTACTTGGCCTCAGTGCTGCCTGTGAGGACGGCAGAGGGGTTTGAAGCTGCTTTGAAGGGGGATTAGGTAGCGTGGCCTTCTCCTGCGTGTGGATCCTCGACCCAATAACGGGCTGCACGTAGAGATTCATTTATTAAACTAAATGTGCGTGCATCCTGAGTAATAATTGCTGAGGACTGAGTAAATGTCAAGTGCTGCTAATGAACATCAGCTGCTGTCATGATTCTACAGCCCTGTGTTTTCATTACACGTGAGCTCTAAGCTGGTGCTGCTTTTTTCCATTAATCTGGTATGTTTGCGGAGGAATTCCTAGCATCACAGTCATAAAAATATTTATCTGTCTTAAAAATCTTATTTTTAACTGACAGCAGAATCTCTCATCGAGACACTATCAATCTCTCATCGAGAAACTTTCTATAGGCCTCGGGGAAGGGCTCTTCCAGGTGCGGATTTATGAGTGAGGACAGAGGCGGCATGGGAGCTTACTGAAACAGCTCCTCATTCTTATCTTGTTCATCAGATACAGTGCGATTTCATTCTCGCTTCTCTGAGAAATCATGTAAGCCTTTAAGGGAGGGAGGAGAAACCCCAAGCCCTGAACTAGATGCTTTCTGCAGATGCTCTCATTAAAACCTTAGTGGCTCTCTAGATAAGTGATCATTCCAAGATCCTCATAATTTTTGAAGCCAAATATATAAATCTAGTGACACTAAATACTGTTTTCCATTAAGTTGGCAGTTCTTGATTGGTTTGACTCGGTTCCCATCATAAAACCTCGATGGGACGGGTCTGGCTGCAGCATTCAGCGCTGTTGGCGCTTGGGTTGTTGGACCATCCCTTTCTCAGTAATGAAGTCTGTGCCCCAGGGACTACTGTCACCTCGGCTGTAACAGGAATTGCAGGTGTAGTGAGATAAAGACCAGAAAAATGCAAATAAACCATCCCATCACCCTCTGGAGTATAATGAGACAAGTGCTTGAGTGTATTGAGCATGTAGGTGATGATCAACGCAGAGTCTCCCACGTGGGAAGGGGAACCCCTCCTGGGTTTTTTTTCACATGTTTCTGTTTTGTTTTTTTTTTTAGGAATCCCCAGCTATTTCTGAAATGTGACCACGGTGATAAACAGAGCAAAATGTGCTTCTACAACAACCCTGTCGTGGACGCTCAATCCGACTTCGCTGGCGAGGCTGCCTTGTGCTAAACACGGCTTCATCGGGGAATGAGATGGAGAGGTGGGCAGCAGAGCAGGCAGCAGAGCCCACGGGTCGGGTGACCCCTCCCGAGAACGGCACCCATCTGTCAGCCGCCGGCGGCGCCGAGCCCGTCCCGCGGCTCCCCGGCAGGGCAGACTCTGCCCGCGGCTCCTTCTCCGGCGTTCCCGGGCACACGGTGCCGCCGAGCTGCAGCGAGCGGGCCCCGTACATGGACTCTGGGTACGTGACGGGGGTTTACAGCCCCGGCGCAGCCCGCTGCGAGCCCACGCCTCCGCGCCGGCCGCCCGATCCGAGCGGCCGCGGGGTCTGTCCCGCTGGGAACGCGCCTGCCCGGGGGGCTGCGGCTCAGGCACCGCCGCCATCCCCTCCCAGGAGGCTCGACAGCTATAAAGTCACGAGGCACCTCGAGGACGCGGCGGGGAGGTGCGACCCCGGCCGCCGGCGCCAGTGCCGCGCGCGGCCGGCTCCCTGCGGGCAGCGCGAGGGGAGAGCTGCACCTTGGAGCCAAGGCRGTGTTGAAACTAGGGAGCAGGATACAGGGGCAGCTGGGAGGAAGGTGCTGGAATGCAAGGACATGCCCGCTTCTGAGTTAAAAAATGGYCTCTCTAAATCACAATATCAGGGGTTAAAGACGGGGGAGAACGGAGAGCGGAGTCTGTCCCAAGAACCTGTGAAAAGAAGCAATCCGCACATTTTCAGCAGACCTTCCTCATTCATTTTTCAAGAATATTTAAAGACTGACTCCATGGCTGGCGCCCCTAAAATTCTTTCTGCTTTCAATTCGGTTCATGCCTATAAAATTCCTGAGGAGATGAACTCTAAAGCCTGCTCTCTGCCACATACCGCCCCTAACGCTGTTAATAATATACAAGAAAGCAAACAGTATCACTGTGTTGTACATAAGCCAAATTTCAGAGAAGCAGATCTGCAAAGCGCAGTGCCAGAGCCCGGCCCGACGAGAAGGTCCTTGCCCCATGCTCGGTGCCCAGGCCATGCGGAGCTGCATGAGGACTTGGCTCGGGATGTGTTTGAGGACAACCRTGACCTAAAACATACGGAGAACGCTCTTCCGAGTAAAGCTGCATCAAAGAGCAGTTGTGCAGATAAGTATGAGTGCTGTGACTCTGAAGGAGAGATGGGGAATGGTGTTTGGGATCAGCAAGGCAAAGTGCAGAAATCCTCAGTGTCCCCCAGCTTGGGCGGTGTAGAGCCAGAGCATCCTCACTGTGGGGACCTGCATCAGGGAAACGAGCAATGCTGTGATCCTGCTAACCAAACTGCTTTTTTCAGACCAAAGGAAAATGCCACTTCTCATTTTTTAAATGAATTCAACAAAGAAAAGCAAGCTAGTAACACTAGTCTTGATTTTGCAATGCATCTAGAACAAGAGAAAAGTGCACCTCCTGTTTGTTTGCATCAACCTGGTCTTCAAAACCAGCCTGAGAGACACCTGCAGGGTGATCTTGCCAGCGAACAAATAAGCAGGCAGACAACTCCCCTTCTTTACTATCTTTCTGGGGGGAAAACCACCAACCTCCTGCATCAAAGGAAGCACACCCAGCTCCAAGAGGACTTGAGGAGCTTGCCAAAAAAGCCTTCAACAAGCAATTCTGCCTCAGCACAATCCACAGATGTACAAAGGGAAAGTAATCAGCTCCCAAAGCCCCAACCCAACCATCAGTGCGTTGCTGATGATCTGGATGAGGCTCAAGATGTCATTCTGGGGAGTCCTGGTTCATCCGTGGAGGAGAGTTTCAAGAATGACTACAGAGAGCAACTTAAAGTGGCTCAAAAAAGGGTTCTGAGAGAAACCTCATTTAAAAGAAAAGACTTGCAGATGAGTTTGCCCATTAGGCTGAGAAAGAAACCCTCTCAAAGGTCTTCCATTGAACATCTTAGATCTTTTTCATTATCCAGTGCAAATGAGGTTGCCAGACCTGTTCCTGGTCCTCCGCCTCATCTGCAACTGGTAGAACACTTCAGTAAAGACGAAGAAATTAAGAGGACACAATTAGGTCGAACAGGGGGAAGGAAAAGGGTAACAAAAGAACAAAAGAAAATGTGCTTTTCTGAACCTGAGAAACTAAATCAGCTGGAAGATAAGGATGTATCATGGAGTCAAGTCAGGGATGAAATTACTGAGCCAGATACAGCGGCAGCTGGGAGAAGGCCTCCGGAGAACCGAGGAAGGGCCCTGTCCAGTTCAGCTATCTCCAAAACGGAGCTGAAGCAAATCCAACAGACTGCGCTTATCGAGTACATGGAACGAAAGATTAGCCAAAGACCGGGCAGTTCCCAGCACATCCCAGTGCCTAACCCACCCGTGCAGAAGAGATCTCCCCATCCTAAGTGGCCTTCTGGCAAGGCTTCCAATCCAAGCAAAAGCAGGAGGTCGCAAAACAACGARGTTCTCAGCCAGGCTTTCTCTGAAGAGGAATTTCCGGAGGTGTTTGCTCCTGTGGCTCCAGCGGCCGCATCGAGCGTGGCCGGTAGATGCAGCCCCAGTTCAGGGGTGTCGCCGCAGTGTCACCCACATCCGCAGGGCGCCCAGGGAAGCTGCAGCAGCAGCAGATGTGTGTCAGCCGAGAGCCTCCCGCGGGCGGGCGCCGCGGACGGGCGCCGCGAGAGGGTCTCAGCAGCCCCTCCTTGCACGCAGGTAAGGSGGTATCCAGAGGGACGTGGTGTTCGAGTCCACGGGAAGCCCTCTCCCCGCTTTAGAGAACAGGGCGCTGCTCGCATGAAAAGCTGCTGAGCTGCACCAACGGGGGATTAAGACTTGGTTCTTAACACACAGCACTACAAGCCAGATTTGTTTATTCTACAAGAAGCGCAGCGGAGCTATTTAAAAGCCAAATGTATGGTCTGCTCTGCAGTGTGCAGAATAATTTTTTTGAATTCAAGTGCACTACCATTTTTAACGTATATAGTTCTGATTAACAATAACTCTGTGTTTGCCAAAGTACTCTTTAAGGAATTATTGCAAACAAACAATGCATTTTAATGGACAAAGGAGAGTTGTAGCGGAGTTGCATGTGAGTGGAAGCTGCTCGGCAAGGCTGGGTGAAGGGCGTGCGCRGAACCTGGGCACAGTTACCTGTTGGGACACATCAAGTGCACAGGTAAAGGCACTTATAGCTCCGGTAAGGACCAGGTATCTGTCTCCAGGMGGAAACTGCACAAGTGTCACATGCAGCCCACGAGGGCTAGCAACACACGGGGCACGTACCAATCCCTGCAAATGGGTGTACGTACAATTTGGCATTCGGAAGACTCGTTTGGGTGAGCTATAGGGGAAGGTGGGTCTGTAAATCTGATGTCTTCCAGACTCTCTTTAGGAGAAATCCTTTTGTCCCCATTCCTTGCAAACTGTTATGGGACTGAAGCTTTGCTTTTGCAGCTCAGTTGTTTTCACTAGGTAGCAGAAAGCCCTCCCGAGGTGCAGCCTGCACTCGTGCTGCTTTCCAATGTCTCTGCAGTGTCACTTGGGCTCGTTCCCTCCTGTGCTGCAGGCCCGGGCGCTGCCGCCTGCAGTGCCAACTGCAGATGCAGGCGGGCAGCCTGAGAACGCTGCTCACCTGCCTGTGCCCTTTCCGTCCCCAGGAATCCCCGGGATGTGCGAGCTCTGCAGCGCCGCCCGCCCGGAGCCGGGACCCCTGCCCAGGCTGCCCCAGGTAACGTGGAACCGGACCCCTGCCCGGCACACGGCAGCTTCGCCAGCTCCTTGCTTCGTGGGAGCCTTGGCTGCTCCGGTTGGGAATCACTAGGATGCACTGCACCCTTTCCTTTCCCTGCGGAGCGTTCTTTAAAATCCTCTGTACTGTGCAGGGCAGCAATGGAGAATGTACAGGGTGCAGAACCGGAGCTGCTCTCCCTGCTAAGAGAGCATCCTGCGGATGCTTGGGATCACTGCTCCCCCAGCTGGTCTCCAGCAAAAACAGCATCTGGAATTAGCTTGGATAGGCCCGTAGTCTGGAAAAAACAGTGTGCTTCCTGACAGGGGCTTTAGAAGAGTATGATTGTCCTTTTTTATTTATTTTTTCTATCTACAAGATAAAACTACCGTGCAATTTATACGTGGCTCGGAAGTTTGTGTGTTCACCCTCCGTATCTGTGTTGCTCATCTGGGGTCAGCGAGGAAGAGCAGCTGAGCTTTTCCTCAGCGAGGAAGTGACGTGGGCACTTGTGTAATAAACTCTATAATTAGATTGTCTTCTGCCCAGGCTGTGCACAGGTTTTTCTTTGCTGTTACCGTTTTCCCTGGTAGTGGCTCCAGATGCTTGGTTCAACCTGCAGGATCTGAGCTCAGGCTCTGCTCSCCGAGCCGGCTGGTCTTACCCCTGYGCCCTGTAATGAGGCCTTGAATAGGTGAGAATAAGGCCCAAGGGTCTCTGCTGGCGGTGATTTTCTCAGGCGCCTCTCCATCTCTTCCTTTCATCACATATCACCTCATAAAGACGTGCTGATCCAAGTTCTCCTTGCCTCATTGGGACATGGAAGCGCAGCATCCTGCACGGAGCATTTTGGAACCGTTTTTGATACACCCAATACTGAAAATGCAGTTTTTGTCACCAGAACCAGCCAAATTCAGGTCAATTTCAGTTTTTATTTTTAACTGTAGTGCAAAGATGTGCCAAGTAGATTAGATATCTCTAAGTAACATTGTTAGTCATGATGAGGTATGAAACACCATTAAACTTTGCCAAGCTCTCTYAATTTTTTGCCTGGGAAGGCTAAAAAGGCTGCGTTAAAGCTAAAAAGCAGAGTGTCTGCAAACCTGGAGGAAGGGCAACCACGGGAAAGGATGGAGTTTCAGGACTACGTAGGCTTTGCTGCCAAGCCTAGTGTGTCTCGGTGCCACCCACAGACACCCAGCGCCTCTCACCTGGGACAGGGCCGGAGCGGAGGGAACCCAGGCGGGCTGCGATGCCGTCGGGAGCCCCGGATCCATCCTGGGAATTCTGCCCAGGCAAACAAATGCAGGAGGCGCCGTGGGATCAGTACAATAGTTCACAAGTTGGAAAGCTTTCCTAGCACAACAAAGCCCGCGGGCGTTTTCTTAAGCCTAAGACAATTTCCTGCACCTCTGCCTGTGTCTGCACGGACTATCCTGCAGCCTGGTTAAACTTGATGTCTCTGCATCACTCTCCCCTGGCCTGGTCTCCTGCAGGAAAATAAAATATAGGTGTTCCTATCTCCAYGTATGGCTTAGGGAAGACCTATGCTGGGCACAAAACCAGGAGTAAATAGGACCTAGGGAAGAAAGGAAGGACAGATTCCATCACAGCTGTAGTATTCTTAAATGTGACCACAGAGGAAGAGCTAAAGGAGGAGGGAAAAAGGAAGCAAAATCTTTCATCCTGTTTTGAAGAAGAAAATATTTGCTTTGTACCTACAGCATCAAAGCCCATCTATGAATTTAATTTAGTTATATCAAGGCTTGAGGCTTTTCCGTGCATCCAGTCCCTTTCCCTTTCTCCTCTACTTTCCCCTCATAATCCCATTGAGTTATGAAGATGCTGCTGGCGAGAAAAAGGTCTCAGTGCCTCGAGTTGTCATTGACACAGTCTCCCCCTTGCTGGGGAATCATTTTGCTCGAGTCCTGGAGGCCGGACAGGACCCTTCCCTTGGCCTTGATGCTTTTCTCCAATCCCTTACCTAGTTTTACTTTCCTGCCAGCAGGACAGGCTCCTACATAGAGAAGGAGGCTCTCATAGGGAAAATCCCCCAAATAAATGCAACTTTTGCCTTCTTTCTTGCAGTTTCCATGATGCTGGGAAAGATGAATGTAAGAGCCATGAAGACAGAGACGACAACGTTGGTAGAAGCGCGTGCTGTCGGGATAGGAAGGACCTCAGCCCTGAAACCTCCATTCTTGTCCCAAAAGGCGGAAACAAGGAAGAGCCTCAAGTGGAAGAGGAGCGCAGAATCCAGCCTGTGAATGGCAGTGCTCTAATAAACGGCCCGGGACCGCAGTTAGAGGTAGAGGATCCTGCAGTCCCTGAGGTGGAAGCAAGGCGCTGCTGTCCGGCGATGGTAGCTCAGCCTCATCAAGGAGCAAACAGCACAGCCGACGGTTCAGAGAGATGGCTCGGAGCCAACGGTTCAGGTTCTCCTCCTGCAGAGGAGGCCTCCGTGCAGGGCAGACAGGACAGCGTCCTCCCACAAGAGGAGAAACGTCTCCCGGAAAGGGGGCTGCTGTCCCCTGAAGACCAGCGGTACGAAGAGCTTGCCAAGGAGGTCATCGCCCAAGACAGTTCTCTGGCTGACGTTCTCATGCCTCGTCCCATCAGAAAGACTGCTCTAGACTTGATGGAGGGTCTTTTTCCTACTAACGTTTCCATGTTGGATAAATCACGCAGGAAAAGGGGAGATGTGCAACATGTGCAGGAGAATGAGTAAGTAGACAAAAAYAATTACCTAGTATTTCAAGCTCTTTTAGTGTATGGATATCAGGTGCATATTAATATACCTGGGCCTTTTTTTCTTTCTGTTTCATTAGCAAAATATTTTATTTTTCTGATTTACATGCTGAGAAATGTGTTATASTATGGGTATAGGACTGGGAAGAGAAAGAGAGGAGGAAACGTGGAGCAAGCCGTGTGCAATAGCTGTTCACAGCCAAACGAGCTGTGATTCAAAGCGTGAGGACCAAGGAGGATGGGCACTGGCAGTTGGGCATTTAATATAAGGCAAATTTAGCCCAATTCTGCTGGGGTAAAACGGCTGCTGTTGAGCCAAGCTAAGTGGTTTCCACGCAGTACTGTCTGCAAATACCCAAAACGCTTCAGAAGTGATTCTGAAGTGGCAACACATTCTGCTACAAATGCAATGTTTTCTGCACAGGCTCCTGCTTGTCCACACTTAAAAAGTGTTTATTTTCTGTGTTTTAAACACTTAAAAGGTGTTTATTTTCTGTTCGACAGCAGGAAAGGTAGTAAAGAGCTCCCAGCAGAAAGCCCTGGAGCTGAACACGACGCTGAGCAGGGCGAAGGAGATCCTGTTTCTAAGGGGAACCAAACCCTGAATAGCAGCAGAGACAGCACGAATGACCTAGATGACATCACATCCAAGAAAGTAGGTAGATGACCATGAAAGGAATGATTGTTTCTGTTAATATCGTGTATATTATTGCAGGCACTTTTCACGGCTATTATGCCAATAATATTCTTTTGCAGATAACTGAGTCAATATTTTTGCAGTAGGTAACRGTTAAAGTCCTGACAAATGTGTATATTGCTCATAAATGGTGGTATTTAAGTCATTCTGGTTTTGTTCAAACCCCTCCTCTCACATATTTCACCATGTCATTGGGGATGGATGTACTGGAATACGCAGCAGCACTGGTTATAGGCTCCTTGCAGGACCAGCTCCTGTGCAGCAGCTGACTCACAGTTTAACGCTCAGATCTGCTCTCAAAAGCTGTAAAATTCATTATGACTGGCAGTCTAAATTAGGAATGCCTCTTAGAAGAACTGGCAGCAGCTTCTACTGCTGCGCTACACTTATCTAGTCACTTCCATATATGCAGAGAATAAAGTCATCTCGCCTGTAGTTGGATTAGGGTTCTAGTAATAGGATTATGGTATCTTGGAAGAGTAATATGTAGCTTTGAAGATTTATTTTTTCTTTTTCTGTAGAAACCTGCCAATATACCATCCAGGTAATTACAATCTGCCTTCCTGAAATCCTTCCTGATGTGGATGTGATGATATTTTGTATTGCATGTGGTTGAGCTGCTGCTCCTGTTCAYTTTCATGAAAGCCAACACGTTTGTTCTCCCACTCTGACCCCTGGGCCTTTTCCTGTATTAACACTTAACACTTTCCATATTAACTCCCTCTCTTGGTTTACTACACAGGATTATTTAGTTTACCTGAATTCCCTACAAAATCCCCTCTTTCTGTATAGCTTGCAAATGAATTTCTGTCAGTTCTTGTAACGTTTGGTATAATAGAGTTGTGACTTCATGTTCAGGTCTTGGAGCGCAGCAGCGTGTAATCATGCTTTATTCTAGTTTATTCTTAACTCTGCWGAGCTAGGGACTACATCTCCAGTTTAAGATGATTACTTGCTCTTCAGAGCTTGAGAATTAAGTATACTTTGGAAAATCTTTTTTTTTCTCTCCAGAAGCTTACAATTCTTTTCAAAGAAGTCCAAAATTTGGTAGCGACGCTGCAAGGAAAGCTCATTAAGGAATTAGAATTCCCTGTGGCAGTGATGGCTCTCTGTGCGTTTCCCCGTTGCAGATGGAGCTGGTCTCGAGGCTGCGGTCCAGGCTGCGGCGCCTGGGCGCAGAGCGGGAGCTGGTGCTCCGCGAGGGCCGGGCGAGCGCGGAGCGCGGCCGGGCGCTCCAGGAGCTGCTCCGGGGCGTCTGCCAGCCCAACGAGTTCGAGCGCTACACCATGTTCATCGGCGACCTGGAGAAGGTGGTGAGCCTGCTGCTGTGCTTGTCCAGCCGCCTCGCCCGCGTCCAGGATGCCATGAGCAAGATCGATGGGAATACAGACGCCGAGGAGAAGGTGAGTGGCAGGAGAATTCAACTTAGTTTGTTGACCTCTTCCGAGACGGGACAACACTTGCGTCACAAGTGGATAAATTAGAGCTAAACCTGCACTGGTGATTGCTTAGCAAGCTCATAACAAGCCAAGGGCTGCTGCAACCTGAAGCAGTCCAGGCCTGTGGCAGCAGGAACGGGCAGTGCCAAGGAACCCTTGCAGATGAGCTGCACGTGGAGCACGTCCTGCTCTGCCACCCGGCTGCAGCAGCGAAACCTGCCGAGGAGCTCAGAGAGGGGCTTGCGAACGCTCTCCTGGCAAGGAGCTCCCAACCTGTCCTCAGAGGCTCTTTTTTCCCCTGTTGGTAACTCAAYGTGGTAATTGCTGCCTTTGAAAACTTATTTCACTTAATGACTTGCCTTCACTGCTGCGAGTAGGAGGAAGGCATTGTCTCAACTTCAGATAAAATTCCCCACAGTTGAACTCAACTAGCCAGTTCTGCTGGAAAGATAGGAATTTTTTTCATGTCAGCAGGAAATCTTTTCAGATCTTAAATATACTTTTTTTTTTTTTAGAGAAAGAGAGAGAAAAAAAAAAGCCAAATTTACCCCAGAAATGATGCCTTCCTGCTCTCCTTACTGCTTTTAAGCAAGTTCCTCAGCACAGGGTCTGTCCTGCTGCTTTCTCATCGGGAAMTGGGAGAAGCCCCGAGCTGCAACGGGGGCTGCGTGGAGCTGCTGCACCCTCAGGGTGCTCCAGCACGAAGCAGCTCGGATTCAGAAGGTCCCAGGAAGAGCCCTCCCGTGCAGGGCAGGGTGGACACTCGGGATCCACCTGCACTGAAATGTCCCRCGAGTTAATATGAATAAGGCAGTATTTTACATTAGCTTTGGGCAACACGCTTTGTGTTTTGTGGTTTGGGAGGGGAATTGTTGCTGGAGGGTTATGTTTGTGCTCTTCACAGAAAATACATTAAAATAATTTATTCCATACTTTGAATAACTTGCTCAGTAAGGACTTGTCTGCGTGCCATCTTTTTTTACAAATATCTCCCAATCACTGCAATTGGACCCGTKTTAGCAGACCCGGGTGTCCAGGCTTGAAGTTCAGCTGCTTTCCTCAGCATGCAGATGGTCACGATAGCTCTGTGCCAGTTTTATTGGCACTCGGATCACATGCAATTCACAAAATACGAAAAAATGTGCCTAAAAGAGCATCCGATTCGAATAAAGTGGGTACAGTCTACTCTAAAATTACCAGGATCTTAAGTATATATATCTTTTTTTCTTTCTGAGGACAACATGGAGAAGTGAGCTCTGATGGGATTTACTAATGTCTTTACCTTACAAGCCACAAGTGTGAGTAATTCAATCTAGAAAAAACTCATGTGGAACACAAAGCCCACAGCAGGAAGTAATTAAACTAAATAGAGTGTGGCTTCCAAACGAAGATCAGGAGCCTGCCAGCAGTTAGGAGTTTTCATACTGTGATGCTTTGTTGTTTTGTTTTTCTTTCCCTATTAGCAATCGCTGAACGAACGGCACAAGCTCTTGTCTAGACAGCGGGAAGATGCCAAAGACCTGAAAGAAAACCTGGATCGTAGGGAAAGAGTGGTTTCGGGTATCCTCGCCAAATACCTGACCCATCAGCAGCTCCAGGACTACAGGCACTTTGTCCAGGTGAAAACCTCCTTGCTGATTGAGCAGAAGGACCTCGAGGAGCAGATTAAACTTCTCGAAGAACAATTAGAAACTCTTGAGAAAAGCATCCACCCCTGATGCCCGGCAGCAGATCGTCGCCTTCTACACATGGTGGTTTGTGAAATCCGTATGTGTTCATTGAACTCGGCTCCGTTTGATGAATTCTTGCAATCTTGTTAGTGCCACAGTATTGACAAGTGCTTAGATGATCTAGGCACACGGTGGAGATGCACAGACCCGCTGACAAAATCTTCCAGTACGTAGCAGATTGCGTTTTGGAAATGACTGATAGGATGTGTTGCTCCTATTAATTTGGCATATTCCCCCCTGCCCTTGTTATCTGTCCATCTGTTCCCAGATTGACATAATCTCAATAAAACCATAATGCAAATATTTTCCTCTCGTGGGTGGGCTGAAATGTTGGAAATGGGAGATGAGGGGAGTGTGTGAATCTGAACCGGCGAGTAAGCGGCGCCGTAGCCAACACCTTGGGCAGGGAAACCCTCGCAGTTATTTAAGGTTAACAGTCTGTTTGTACATGGATAAACCCAGCAAAGGAAGCGCCGCTTTTGGGAGCGAGTGCAGGGCCTCCAGCTGCCCTGGTGCTCCCGAGGGGATCTCAAAAGCCCCTGTGAGCAGGGGGTTCGGGGACACACCTGAAAGGTGCCTTGCAAGAGTGCTCCTGGAGTAACAGAAGTTGTCTTAACTAAATCAAGGGAGAAATTAAAATGTTAGCACTGTATTAAATGAGCTGCCTGTAGTGAGAAGCTGGATTTGAAGGTGTGCTCTGTTAGGCGGTGCTTTCCAAAGCCTCCCGTTTTCCCAGGAATTACCGCTCTGCGCCACTGAAYGCAAACGAGGGAGGAGGGAGAGGGTAAAACGAGAGGTTGGCAACGAGAGCCTCCCCGGGCAGCGCGGGCTGCTCYCGGGCTCGGAGCTGCAGCTCCCTGGCCTGCCAGCACGGAGGGCGGCGCCGCGGGGGCTCCTGTTTGCCAGGCAGGAGCGGGATYGCCCGTAGAACAGGCAGCTTCTGTCGCTGAGGGCCGGCAGGTTAGCCCAGGGTTTGGGTGGAGCAGAGCGAGCGCCCGGTGGGGACGGGACGCGGGCTGCATCCCCGGACCGCGTCTCGGCAGCGCTCACAGAGCCGCGCGGGACRGCGGAGCCGGGGGTTCCCTCCGCGCCGCGAACTCATGGCAACCGCCTGGAAAAGAATCAGGAAGAGCCGTGGAGCAGTGGAGCGGAGCCCACGCGCGCGGAGAGTGGCCGCTGCGGCCGTCTCGGCTCAACACGGATCAGAAGCACTCAGGGGTAGGAGGGGAACGAGAAATGCCATGTGAGCCGTGTAGCTGAGTCACCTCAGACAAACCCACTGGGAGAAATTACAGGTTGAACTGGTTGTGTGGATGCACAGACCAAGCTGGCGCTCGTAGGAATGTCCACAAACAGCCAGGCGTCTTTTTAACCGGCTCCTGCAATGGTAGGAAGGGCAAGAACRTCCCAAACTACCCGGAGAAGAGACCTCTCCTGGCCGAATCCCTTGGGAATGCGGCCCAGGCTGCTGTGACGGGGGTGCGCTCAGAGAAACCCCCATCCCGCGCTGGCTGCGCRTCCTGCCCAGAGCCGCTCAGCTTGGAGAAACTCTGCTTTCCAGGGTGCTTTTATCCCACGGGAGGAGCTGGTCCAAGTCCTACATATAGAAACACTAGTTTCCTCCTATATCCCGCATTTCCATTGATACAGCTTCACTAGAAAGGGCTTTAGGCGCAGTTGGCTCTTCTGGTCCCTTTGGGGAGCAGGGCCGGGCTGCTGGAGATCGGGGCTGTATCATACGGGCCGTACGGGAGCCCCTGCAGGGCCAGCCCTGACTGACGGAAGCGCTTTGGGGAGCGCAGGCGCTGGAGCAGTTGCCCTGTCTCAGTGCCGGGTTTGCCCCATTCGAGGATGTCCAGCAAGGAGGCGCTTTCCTCACTGGACATTCCCAATCCATCGGCATTCGGAAGCATCTCCTGGTGCTTGTGCTGCTGATCACGAGAGGGATGAGCCGGGAGCAGCCGCCCGTGTTCCCTGTGCCCAGTGATTCCAGGGTGCACCTGCTCGGACCTGAAACAGGGAGGAGGAAGCACAACTCCGGCTGCAGCTTTTCCCGCTGGGAAAGAGCTGGGCCTTGGGCACCGTGTGCTGCTTTCTGGCCCTAGACCAACTCCAATGCCCTGTTTGCAGGCAGGAGCAGCAGCTGAGCCAGGACAASGGCTCCGTGTGCTTAATGACTCGCTCTGTTCTATTCTCTTCCTCAATTAGAGACCTAATCGCCGGAGCTGCGCCGGGAGCTCCTCGTGTCCCAGCTGCCCTCTGGGCTGGCGGTGCCCGCGCTGTGCTCCGGCCGAGCGCTCCCAACAGCCTCTCCCTTTGGAGCCACCCATGCCAGGACCAGAAAGCACCAGGAAAGCAGCACCTGCCCCTTGCCGTTTTGCCCTGATTACCATGCAAATGGRGAGCAAATGCATGCCAGGAATGTAGGTCGCAGCGGGAAGGCGGGCGTGGGAGGATCCCGGGGCTGCTCCGGCCCGGCTGCCCCGGCAGCCGGACCAGGCTCTGCCCTGGGTGCGAAGGGTGCAAAGAGCAACGSAGGCGGCTGCGACGGCGGCCACAGCCCGCGGGACAAAGTCTGTCCCTGCCCCGCGGCGCTGCCTGTTTGCAGGCACTGATCCCGGGCGCTCCAAGGAGCAGGGCTGCGGCACGGGCTGATCCCGGCCGCTCCGAGGAGCGGGGCCGCGGCACGGCTGATCCCGGGCGCTCCGAGGCGCGGGGCCGCGGCATGGGCTGATCCCGGGTGCTTGGAGATCTTCAGAAAGAGGCGCCAGCCCCAGGGCGGCAGCGCGGGCCAAAGGAGCAGCCGGTTGTGTTTCCGTGGGTGCTGCTGACAGCAGAGCGTGGGGGACGGCTGTGCTCCCTGTGCCTGCAATCCGTAAACAATTATCTCAAATCCATGCATTCGCTCATACATATATATATATATATATATGTCACTAATAACCATGTACTCTATAAAGACAAGGCAGCCAGGGCACTAATTTCCATTTTACAGCAGGAAAACTGAGACGCGGCGGGTTGGTAAACAGTGACCAAGGCAAAACAGAGGCCGGTGCTGCTTGGCTGGGCCGCGGGTCCACAGCACGAGCGGMCACAGCGTGTGGAGCAAAGCCCGGAGCAAACTGCCCGGCTGTGGCTCACTCACATGCACACTGTTCAGCAGCATCTGGCCTTAAAATAGGGAGTTTAGAGAGAATCCATTATGCTGCTGGATTCATAAAACACAACGAGCCTTAGGCTCTGCCAAAGAAACTTCAGAAGGGCTGAGCATCCTCTACTCGGTCCCTTTTGAGAGCAAACAGGACATAGAGAAGCAAGGTCCAGAAAGGCTGGAGGCCGGTTCTGCTTCACGCTAAAGGCCGCAGAGGCTCTGGCACAAGCGCAGCGCTGCACCCCGCGGCCCTGGGCGCCCTCCTCGGCGGCCGCAGCGAAGGCTCCTCTCGGCTGCAGCTGCTCTTCCATCACCTCCCGTGCGAGGAGGAAAAGCAGCAGCCAAAAGAAAGCAGCGGGAGCAGCGAATGGGCACGGGCTGATCCGTAGCTGGGGAGTGAAGCAGCCGGGGCAGKGGCATTGATGGAGCTGGAGCCAGAGAGAGCTTTTAAACAGAGCAACAGGTACCTGCCAYGCAGCTCAGAGCTGATCCAGGACAAGAGGAACTGAGTCTTCAAGGACCAGGTCCCACCAGCAGCTCAGCAGCAAAGGRGATGTTTGCGCTTCTGGAAGCAACCTCGAGGTCCTCGATCATTAACATTGCCCCGACAATCAGATTAGTTCAATACAGAAGCGGAGGGATGCAGAGCGACCCGCTGTCCTTGCGGGGTGCAGGGTCGGGATGGAAGGAGCGCCCCGGATGCTGCGGGATCCTGCAGGGCCGCCCGGAGCGGGGCAGGACGGGAGGTGCCGCCGCCTCGGCCCACAGCGACCAGGCACAGACAAAACACGAGGCACCAAGGCTGGAAAACACATTCCTGGAGGCACTGGCGTGGAAAGAGCAGCGAGCGAGCAGGGCGCGCGCCTGGCACCCAAGAGCAGGGCAAAATTAATATTAACATAATAATAATAAAATATCATTGGAAATGTTTAACTTAATCTCCACTTTGCATGCGTTGGGGACGTACATGTAGTACCATAGCTAGAACAGCTGTGCTGTATAGCACAAAAGCAGAAGAAACGCAAGTTTTCGGTCGATGAGGCAAGCGCTTCGCGTCGCTTCAGTCACACAGACTTTCTGCCGCAGCAACCTCACGCAAAGCCCGGCTTTTCCAAATACTTATAGTCAACAGGCCACAGCAAAGCTTAAGGTTTGTAAGAACAGAAACGTGCAGGTGTGGGGAAATCAGACATCCAAGCCTATTTTTTTTTCCCAGTTAGACATTCAGGTGTTTGTACTCTGAAGGATTTATATCCTAACATTTCAGTTCGGTTTTGCACTATCAAATATCACATTTTTATTCAGCTCTATTTAAGTTCTTTATCGTCAAGCTTGAGAAAAGCTCTGGCTCACCAGCTATGTAGGCAGTTAGTGCCACCCGCTCACAAAGTCCTTCAAGGAGGAAAAAAAAAAGCAAAACCAGAGCCTCCCCTCCAGCTGCAACAGCAGGAAATGGCTGGGAGACGAGGGGGCTCGGAGCTCTTCCTCGAGTCACACGCTGCAGGCACATGCAGGACAGTCACGTTAGTATTTCCAAGAGTGAGAAACTTGCCTTTAAAAAAGTCAAATACTAGGTACGTATTTATTTAGTAGAAATATTCCCCTCCTGTTACCAAAATAGTCAGAAATATCATAGAAAACTASCCAGCTTTCCTCTACTGCTTCCAGCTGCTCTGCGAGGAGCCTYGTGGAGCAGACGCCTCCGGCCCGCGTTTGGCCCCATTCGGAGCCGCTTCCTTCTTGGGTGCAGAGCACGAGGGCACRTTCAGCACCTCCAACACACACCTCCTTCCCTGGGCTCCCGTTCTACAGGAGCCCCCCGAGGCCTTCAGAGCCGGTCGCTGATTTAGCTAAAAATCCAAAAAGGGGAGACAGAAGCAATCCAAGAGCTTCCACAGGAACCACGAACGCAGCTGCAATGAGACTAGTGGCCGAAGAAGAGCTCGGACACGGGCCGGCGCTTGGCCGCCAGCTCCTCCTCTTCCTCGACCTCCTCGCAGAGGGACGAGTAGGAGGGGAAGCTCCCTCTGGTCTTGGGCTTCTTCCTGGGGCCGGTGGAGGCAGCCAGGAGCTTGTTCAAGGACGAGGGCTTCCTGAGCCCCTTGGTGAGGTCGTAGAAGGCCATGTCATCCGAGATGACCCCGAGGAAGGTGCTGGTGGAGCTGAGGATGGAGGCCGCGATCTTGGCGTTCTTCCTGATGGGCTGCGGGGGCCCGGCGGCGCTCTGCAGCTCRGGGTCGCCCAGGAGGTGCCGCACGGCGACGGACGCGCCGTCCTGCAGGTACTGGTGGGGCTTCTTGCCGCTGTAGTCGCGCACGTTGGTCTTGGCGCGGTAGCTGCGCACCAGCAGGGTGATGACGTCCTCGCGGCCGTGCATGGCGGCCACGTGCAGCGGCGTGTATCCGCCGTACGAGCGGGCGTCCACGTCCACGYGCCCGCCGCCCTTGGCCGCCACCTCGATGATCTTGGCGGCCGCGTGGCAGTCGCCGCACTTGGCGGCCCAGTGCAGGGCGGTGAAGCCCGACATGAAGTCGCGGCGGGCGGCCAGGCTGGCGTCGCGCAGCAGCAGCCCGTGCAGCTCGGGCGACCAGCGCCCGCCCGCCGCCGTCACCAGCCACCGGTGCTCGGCCTCGTCGAGCGGCACGGCCGCCGCCTCGTCGCCTGCCCGCGCACCCTTGGGTGCCCGCCGCGCCGGGGGCGAGTGGGGTGCGGGTGGCGGGGGGCAGCGCACGGGCAGCATGCAGGGTTTTTCTGGGGGGTCCCGCCGCGCTGGGGGGTCCCTCCAGGCGGGCAGCGGTGCCCGCTCGTCCTCGCTCTGGAAGCGGCCGCGCAGCTCGGAGACGGCGCCGGGCGCGGGCAGCTCCGCGGCGGGGGCGGCCGGCGAGAGGCGCCCCCCGCCGCCTTCCTCCTCCTCCTCGTCCTCCTCCTCCTCGTGCTCCTCATGGCCGCGCGGTTCGGGGGCGGCCGCGGGGCCGGCGCCGCGCAGCGCCCTGCGCAGCACCACGAGCCGCCCGGCGCCGCCGCGCTCGCGCAGGAAGCTCAGCACGGCCGCGGCGCTCACGGCCGCCTCCGACATCGCTCCGCGCCCCTCGGGTGCCCCCGATTCCCCCTCGGTCCTCCGCGGTGCCTCCCGATCCGCCCCGATTCCCGCCCGTTCCCCCCGCGATCCGCGGCTCCCCGCGCGGCAGCCCCGGCCCCGCGGCCGCCCCCGCACCTGCGAGCCGCGCTCCGCCCGCCCTGCAACCTGCGCGCGCGGAGCCTCCGCTCGCGCCGCCCCCGGCAGCGCCGGCCCCGCGGAGGCGGCGAGCGCGGCGCGGCCCCGCGCGCAGGTAGCGGCTCCCTCTCCGCCCCTCTCTGCTCCGCCGCCTCGGGGGCCGTTTTCCCTCTAAACCCGCCCGCAAGGTGCGGTCCCCGCTCGCCGGGGGCTCGCGTTGTTCCGCAGAGTCATCGCGTCTCCCACGGTGCAAAGTTTCTTGTCTGGAAATGAGTCAGGGGTAGGTGGATGGGTCCCTGTTTTGAAATATATTTGAAATCTTACATATACATATATGTCTTAATCCTGTTTTGTATATGTATTAACACCCTCGATCTATAAATATCTACAGCRTACCCGTATGCATCTACATACATGATTAATTCCCTGCCACATACCTACACGCAAGCGCAACTAAGCGCTCTGGAAAGCTAAGCCCTGTGACTGCACTGCCTTATCAGCTCCGTCTCCTTAAGCGTTGCTTTTTACATGATTATGGCTATTATCACACAGAATAAATCTCTCAGGCAAGTGCCTTTCCCTGGGGGAAGGCTGGCGCTGAGGAGCTCCTGGAAAGATGACGCTCAGCCCTGTGAACTCGTTTCCACGCCGCCCGCTGTCGCAAGCGAGATCGCGGTGCTGGTTCTGCAGGGACTGTCTAGGAAAGCAGCGAGGGGCCGAGYGGAGGGYGCCCGGGGGGACCGGCCAAGGGGGCACGAGGGGGGACTTGCTCTGCTGCCGCTAATGGCTCCAGGAAAATGGAGCATCCGCTGATGCCAAGGGCTCCATTTTAGAGCAGCGGAGGCTGCAGCGGTGCCAGCAGCGCCGTCCCGGTGCCCAGGGAAGAGCTGGTGCCCGGAGCCTTCCCGCGGCACCCGAGCCCTCCTCGCCCCCTCRTTGCTGAGGCCTCTGAAAAGCTCTTTCATCTCTTGGTAACAAGCTGGCACAGAGCCGCGTGCCCGCGCTCGCTTTGTGCTCTCCTGTTCTCTCTCTTAGCCGTGCGTTGTTCCCGGGCTGCCCGTGGCCGGGATTGCTGCGGGAATTGCACAGTGCTCGTTGCACTGCGTGTGCAGCGGCCCGGGCTCTGCCGAGGCGGCCGCGCTTCCCTGCTCGGCCATTCAGAAAGAGAGGTTTATTTAAATAAAACCTTCATGCCGAGCAGGACATGTCCTGGGGCTCGGCTCCATTGGGCCTTTCCGGGTGCTCACGGTGAGGGCCGTGCCCTGTCCCTGCGGGGACAGCCCTGGGGTGGCATAAGAGCCCTGACCCTTGTGTCRTAGTGGCTCTGAGGGGCTCTCGGCTGCCCCGTTATCCCCCTGGGGCAGGTGGTGGCAGCTCCAGCTGCTCCGGCGGCAGGTCCCGGCATTCCATGCCGTGCCAGAGCCCAAGGGCCTGTCCCAGGGCCAGGGCAGAGGGAGGCGGCCRCGTTCCAGCGCACCCAGCAGGAACTGGTTGCTCAGGTTTAACTGCCCTGACGCAAGCAGCTCTTTGCCCCGGGAAGTTTCCAGCTGCCACATCCACGCGCCGTGCGGTGCCGGTGCCCTTTGCCAGCCCGTCCTGGCTTTGGAGCCAGCGCAGCGCCGGGCACGGGGCCGCGGCCCTGGCGGCTCCTCATGGCTTGTGCACGGCCGGTCCCACTCTGCCCGGGTTCCGCGGCAGAGCTTAGGCTGCTCCCGGGAATTGTATTAATAGAGATCATTAATATAACCTGGAGCACTGCGGGAGTTTGGCCCTTCGGATATCTGAAATCTCCAGCTTTAAAAATTACAGGAAGCTTTTGCTCTTCTCTTTTTCTTTTTCTTTTTCTTTTTCTTTTTCTTTTTCTTTTTCTTTTTCTTTTTCTTTTTCTTTTTCTTTTTCTTTTTCTTTTTCTTTTTCTTT